ACATGGGCTCTCCTCCAGCTGTGGGTGTGGTGGGAGACGGGGCAGCAGATAGTCTTGGGGGGCTACAACCTGCCAGGTGCTGAGTAAGGCTGCCCTGTCCCTGCCAGGGCTGGGAGGTGCTCGGTGCTGGGGTGAAGGTTCGAGAAAGCACCAAGGTGACCGGTGCAGCCACAGCATGGAGTCAAGCCCAGGTTGCCACGCGCCCCTTTGGTCCCCTGCATTTGCAAGGATGGACACTTGCCCCAGCCCCATGGCCTCCAGTCACCACCAGTGAATGCACCAGAAGCAGAAGAGACCCCAAATGACACTGGAGAGGGAGGGAGGCCCTCCAGCTCCCAGGGTCTCTCCTGCAAAGCACCACAGGCATCATGGCCCCATATGCCCACCACACCTGGGCACGGTGAGGAGGGGAAGACAAAGCTGGTCAGGGCATTGCTGACCCACCTGATCTACCCTTGCATGGAGCAGGGGGTTGGAGCAGGTTGTACCCTTCCAGCTGACATCACCCAGACATGGCTGTGGGCACAACTCTGCTCCACAGAGACTCTCTCCCGGGGGAGCAGGGGCATGGTGGGGGTGCAAGGCAGTGTGGATTAGTGTGTGTCCTGGTTTTCGGATGCGACAGAGCTAATTTTTTTCTCAGTAGCTAGAACAGCGCTGTGTTTTGGTTTCAGTGTGGGATTTGTTACAAGAAGAACATTGATAACTTACTGATGTTTTCAATTGTCGCTGGAAGATGAAGGACTTTCCAACTTTTCCATGTTTCACTATTCTGCAGGTGCAAAGGACTGAGGGGGGATAGTAAAATTAGCAAATGCGAATTGGCATTTGGATATGCCAATGGGATATTCTATATCATATAATGTCATGTTTGGTATATTAATGAGGGTCTCTCAGGATCTGGCTCTTACAGGATTGTGGTTTCGGTTTGGGATTGTTGCTCCTCTGGGATCGTTATCCAGAAGCAGGCTGGGCTTGTTCAGTGGGTGGTGAGCAATTGCACTGTGCATCACTTATTTGTATACTTTTAAAATTACTATTACTACCATTATTATTGTCATTACTATTATAAGTTTTCTTTAATTTCAATTATTAAATTGTTCTTCTCTCAACCTATGAGTCTCCTTATTTTTGTCCCTCCAGTTCTCTCCTCTGTTCCCTGGGTGAGGGGGCTAGAATGAGCGAGCGGCTGTGCAGTGTTTGGCTGCCAGCCAAGTGAAACCACCACAGTATGTAAAGCACTGGGCAGAGCCAGCATCAAATCCCACGCAGACTTGGGATGGTCCAAACCTGGACATAGAGGGCCCTTGTGAGGTCCTTGTGTACATGGTGGGAGAGCAACGCAGGGGACAGTCTCTGTGTGGCAGTTGTCCCCACTGCCTCTGCCAGGCTTCCACTTACAACCACCTCCATGGCTTGTTGTGTCCTTCAGCAGGGCCCCGTGTAGGAGGGAGGACACTGTGTAGCAGTGGGTGGTGTCCAGGCTCTGCAGCACTTCCCCAGGGCTCTGCCTGGCCAAAGAAGCGCTGAGCTCCAGAGAGCCAGGCTGAGTTTCCTCCCAGCCATTTGTCCTTGCTGCCACAAGATGGGGACCTCAAGCCGTGGTGCTTTATCAGGACCAGGCAGAGGGTGCAGAGGACCAAGCCTTGGTCCTGACTGCAGGGGAGAAGGGGAAGCAGGCTGTCAGGGTGGGCTTCCAGCCAGCCCCAGGTCCCGAGCATACTGGGGACACTGGTCCCAGCTTGGAGGGGTGCAGGAGCACTCCCCAGCAGCCCATTTCCAGTGCTGGGTGCCCCAGCAGCTGGTCACCCCATGTCACCCAGCACACTGCCCTGGGCTCCCTTCACCAGGCATCTCTCAGTGGCTGCAGCTTCATCTGCCCCAGGACACGGCCTGTCCCAGGGCCATGCTGGCAGCATTGCAGTGGTGGCTTGGAGCAGAGCAGGACAAATATTTACCCCACTGTTGGCCCAGGTTGGTGCTGATGAGAGAGGTGGAGGCAACATCTACATTGTCACAGCAACGGCAGCACCAGGTGATGTGGAGGAGGTGAACTTTGGGGACAAAGCCCCCTGATCCTGGCCATGGTAGCGCTCAGGACGCAGAGTCACAGTGGACAGCTTCAGGAGGAGAAGGAAGATGAACATCTCCCGGTGAGGCAAAAGCCTGTTCTGATGTCTCCGTTATCTGGAGGCCGTTCTCACCACTCAGCAGCATTTACTCTTGATGGACAAAGAATCTATGGTTCAAAGACACCCACAGAACAACACAGTATTTTGTTATATGGTGGTCACCAAGGCAATGGGGCATCTCGGAGCTCATTTTTATTGAAAGAGGAACTAAAATGACATCAGGAAACAAGTTTGATGGTTATGACTCACTTGATCACAACATTTTTACTAGTTTCTTGAGCGACAGCAAACAGTGTTGTTCCAGTAGCTTGAATACTACTCCTGTCAGTGTCTGACAGGTGAGTGCACCCTGGTAAGGGACACAGAAGTCTACACACCTGGAGGAAGTCAAGCATCCCAGAGGAATTGCCCAGTATTTTCCCATTCAAAATTTAACAGAGAAGCAGAGGGAAGATACAGAATTAATTCCTTACTGGAAGCTGATCTTAGGACACCAGTCAAGAGATCGTCATGCTGGAAAGAGGAGGGAAAACATGATGTGTTTTACAAACTGGTTTTCTGTTTATACATCTCATATTGGCGTTCGATATGCCAATAGCACAACTCATGATTGCTGCAGCCTACAGGTCTCTCGCTGAAAACCTGCTGCGTCAGCGGTTTGTTTGCCATGTCTTTGGACAGTTCCTCTTCCCTGAATGTCAGGTTTTCCATAGCCAACTGATCTCTCTGATTTGTCCAGAACATTTTGTATTTTAACCCAGTGCTTTGGGGTGCTCACAGCCCCTCCAGCTCAGGCACATCTGAGAATTTAATAAACACATTCTCCGTTACAACATAGAAGTTATTGATGAAGGAACAGTGAATAATAATGTTGAACCAAGGACTGGAATCTGTCACAGAAGGAAAACAGGCTCCTCTGAAATGATTCATTCTTGGCAATGGCCATGGTTATTACTCATCTCCTTCTTTGATTAAATGTCCCACTGCTTTTTTGTGGCTTGAAGTTGACTGGTTTATAGTTCCTTAGTTTCCTCTGTTTATCCTGCTAATGATGAGACCTTCTTGTCTCATTTCTGTGACCCCATCACCCTCCACCACTTCCCAAACACACTGGCTGTGTGGATGTGGCTTCAATTAGTTCTTGAGGTAAAGGGGATTTTTTTCAGGTGAGCAATCTGAAAATACTGGAATGACTGAAATATACATTAATCCACACTTTTTAGGATCCTCCCACCTTCTCCACTGGCTGTTTTGCCAGTGAGAAAAAGAAAAGTGGTCATAGAAGACAGAAAATAGAGTCAGCCTTCACTAAAGTGCCAATTTTGATGAAGGACTTCAGATATTTTCTCTCCTTCCTTTCCTAGAAGCAGAGACTGTTCCTGGCAGAGTAGCCACATCAAGCACAACTCTACCAGCCCCTCCAGACAGGACAGGGCTGGTAAAAACAAGTATTGGCAGAACTTAAAACATTGTCTGCTCTCCTTGGCCATCACAAAAAGCTCAATGCTGCAAGCAACATCTTAGAAAACCTTTTTGCTGATCCACCTCAGAGCTGATCTGTGAGGAACCCAGCTCTCGTTCTGTGAGCTCCCAAGACCGAAAAGGCATTAAGCATCATGAATCCCTGTCCTTGGAGAGGTTCACAACAGAATCCAGGTCTTGGATTTTACATCTGGGAGGAGAAGGAGCAGATCTGTGACAACATGATGTTGGCCACTGATGCCTTCTTGGTGCTGTCCCTGCTGTTTTGGAGCCATTCATCAACTGAAAAAAAAAAACAAAACCAGAAGCTTTCCATGTTTACTTTGCACTGGTTTTCCACTTTTTTTTGTGGCTGACCATGTCTTTTTTGATAATTAGATCTGGCCAGATTTTTGCTGCAACTATATCACTAGCAACCCTTTTCTTT